TTTGCAGAGATGGCAGCTGCAGCTTCCCTACCCTAAATGAATCCTCAGTCGCCATCTTTGCAAAGGGCAGCCACTCTCCCTTTTTACACGCCGTGGCTGTGGAGGCCGGATGGAGACCCTGGCGGCAGCAATTACTGTAAGGGGGTGTTGGCAGGGGTGGGGGGGGGTAAGGTAGGGAGAACGAAGGGGATGGGGGTAGACTGTGGGGGACTTAAAATCTGATGAATACGGATTGACAAATATTTAACAAATCGGCTATTTTCATAAAAAAACCTGATCCATTTTAATATTCGTCCCCATCTCTAATATAGATATGTGTGTAGGCATCCTTCAGTCTTGAGAGACTGTGGTAACATGCTCTGTATGGAGGACGGAACAGCGTCTAGTGTGGCTGAGAAGGCCAATTTGAGAGTGACAATCCCTTCCACACTGAAGACAAATACAATCCGTCCCCTGTCCAGCTCCCTGATTTTGCTGGTTTCGGCCTGCTGAGCAAATGTCTATTCAAATTGGGACACGCTATGCTGTACTGCCTGCCTCCAACTGGGAGGGTATAAATACAATAAATAAATAAATAAAATAAATAAAGGCTTGATGAGTTAGTTATGCAGCTATCACATGACCTCTGAGGAGGGGACCTTATGGACACATAATGCCTCTTCTCTGCAAGTATAAAGGGAACAGTGATATGCAGCTGGATCAGCTGTGTACAAAACACACAGGTCCTTTGTAAGGTGCTACATTTTAAAAAATTTACTATATATCTTGTATTGCTGAAAATGTTGTATATTTTGTGCATTTACAGTTGATTTAAAAAAGTGTGGATTTTGGACTTTGGATTTTATCTATTCTGAGAGGGGTCAAATGAAAGAAAAAAAATCACAATTCTCTAAATTTGCTGGCTTTTGTTCTGGGTTCTCTCAGCATCTTATCTGATCATCACCTCTCCTTAGCTCATGAACATGTTTTACTATGTATTAGAGAAAGATTGGCCTTAGAAGAAGAAGAAAACCTCCAATGCATTCCTGCATGTCAAGGGATAGCAGATTCTATAACACGTATATGCACCTACTGTATGACACAATCTAGTTACAGAGAATCACAGAATTCATTTCAGCCTCTACAAGTGAGAGTTACTGACATGACTCTGGGCTTCCGTAGAAGGAAGGACTCGTTTCAGGAGAAGTAATCAAGTGGTTTTTAAAATAATTTTATTTCCTATTTGCATTCATTTGAAGAAGCAACTGATGCTTAAATTGCATTACTGTTGAATTCGGTGCAATAAACTATTCACCCTACAATGTTTAGTGTTGTCCTAATTTCTTTCAAAGACATGGCAAGGACACACACTTTATTTGAATGTGGCAAAGACAGAGGCAGAACTTTGCAGGAGAAGTTCTCATATGCGAGGCAGAGCACGTTCACAACCGGGGGGGGGGGGGAAGAAATGTAAATAAGTTAAGAATTCTGTTGCTCTGAAATAAGAAGTCTCATCTCTGCTCTCACCGACAAAGCCAGATTGTATAGTTGGCACTAAAAGGAGCCATGTGAAACAGAGCATCTTCTTTTGATGGCATGTAAGGAAACCATAGAGGTTGTGTTGTGGCAGCTTCCCTGCTCCTATTTCACCATGAATGGTAGAGCTTGGCCTCAGTGTACAATAATTGACAGATATTTGAATTAGGACTTGGAAGATCCAGGTTCAAATCCACATACAACTACCTCACGGGGAGGTTATGGGACAAGAGAGGGCAAGAACACAGTATATCTGACAAAACAAAGCTCAGTGGTTTGGTGTTCCTTTGTGCCAAGGAATGAAAGCAGGAGAGAAGGCTGCTGCCTACATCTGCGTCTTTCTTTGCTTCCTGAAATGATGAGGAAATACTCCTGCAAAGCCCCCTACTTAGCCCAGACTGTAATTGGAATTTAATGAGGATTTCAGGGAACAGGAAACCTTTTTGTGCTCTACTTGACATTTTCTTCCAGTAAGCATTTTTGTTCTTGTTGTTGAACAAAGCTTGAAAAACCAAGGTCACCTTTGCACAGAGCAATCAAAAATATATACAAGATATGCACAAGGAAAGGACAGAGAAGAACGAGCAACTATGTGAAGGGCACCTCAATTTCTGAGGAGTATTACAGAGGTTAGAAAAATTACATCTTTAGCTGGGAGTTCTTTAACCCAACATCAACTGCCAGGTTTTTTAAAATGGTTTCAAATGTACAATTAACCAAGATAAACAAACCCTCTAACTTTAATTTTAAATGAAAAAGGGTCAAAGTACAGCATAATTTCTGGATTGAGAAAAATATTGTGAAATTCGATGCACATATTACATGAGAGATCAATGGCAAGTTCTTTCATCATCATCATTTCTTTTTTTTATGACATGAAATGCAGTTTCAGGCAGCTGAGAGAGCAATGGGCGCCATGGCATTTAAGGAGGGGCTTAATCTTTCTCCCTACCTGTGGCATGCTTTAGGTCAAAATTATGTCCATTGATCAAATATTTCTTCCATATGGAGTTAAATGTAGAAGACCAACGATAATATTTTGAGCTGGACAACTTGCAACTTTCCAGACATCGTTGGACTGTCCTTCCCAGCAGTCTTAGCTAACATAGCCAATTGTGAACAATGGTACAGCCAATGGCGAGCAATGGTATAGCCAGCTGATGGTGAGCAGCAATGTGACAGCCAACAATGCAGCCCAGCAACTTTTAGAGTGCTATACTTTGCCCACTCCTGTTATGGTCACTGTTTCCCCAAAGACAGAATCACCTGTTTTGTTTCAAAACAGTCAGGGGTGTTCATCACTGTTTCCCCAAAGACAGAATCACCTGAGGGTACAGTTTTGTTTCAAAACAGTCGGGGGTGTTCGCTCAGCAGACCACAGATCAGGTGAGACTATGTTGTTAGAAAATATGCTCTATTTGGATATTTTCAAGTGGATGGTAGTTGAATATGGCTTTAAAATGTTCAATATGTATCCTCAATGCACAAGTCTGATGAAGAAATGACAAAATAAATGGAAAAATGTAGGAAAGAGCCAAACAGCATCATCACATGTGCAAAGAGACCATACCTAGGACAGCATAATCAGAAGGCTAAATCCAACTGTTAGTCCCAACTAAAGACATGTATGTTATGTAGTGAGACCTAACTTATAGCGACCCTAATAGGGTTTTCAAGGTAAATGAGATATTTAAAAAGTGCACCCTCCATGAGTTTCCATTACCAAATTAGGATTTTTAAGTCCAGGCTCCTGGTTTCTAGACCATCACTTAATCCAGTACACCACACTGGGTATCTACCCAAATAAAGTACACTAATTTAATTAATAGAAGTCACCTAAAACTTAGCATGTCCCATTCATTCAGTGGGTTCATTGCATCTGGAACTAACAATTGGATCTAGCCCAGAAACTGCTATGCTTTTAAATCAAGTAATAACATCTGGACAACAAAACTGAAAAGCAAGGAATATTTTGCCTTAGAAAATCTCCCTGTCCTCAGCAGAAGCAGATAACAAACCTTTACAAATCAGTTTAAAAAATAAATAAAGAAGGAAGAAAGAAAGGACACTTTGCAGATAAAACCATAGATCTTATCTGCTACATGATCTCATGCCTTTATTCAGTCTTATTTTCCCCTGAGAGATGGAAGCCATAGATCAGCAAACAAAACATTCTAAAAGAAAAAGAAAAAAACAACAACCCTCGGTCTGGCTCCTAGACCAGCCCAGTGATTAGCTCATTTCCAAATCCCTCATACTATTTTCAGCATCCAAACCTACCTATGGGTGTGGCTATATTAAAGGCAGGCAGCAAGCTAGTCTGGGATATTTTGGAATGGCTGGGCTTGATTAAAGTGATCTAATCAAGCCCTACAGTTCACATGCAAATTGTTCCTGCATCCAAAACAAGACTGGTGATCTAATCAAGCCCTACAGTTCACATGGAAATTGTTCCTGCATCCAAAACAAGACTTCCAGTTTGAATTTGCCAATAAGCAAGTCACTTCAGGATATTGGCAAATTAATCATTTCCTTTGCTTCTCCACGGGGGAGGGGGCAGAGAAGTGATTTTTTTAAAACTGTGTAGTGGACTATCACTGATACACTGCATCAGTTGTAAAAAAGATTTTTTTAAAATCTTTTCTTTACCTTATCTTAAAGGGCCAGTCAAGAAACTACCTGCAGGTGAAGCCAATGATGTGGAACAGAGGAAGTATTAAAGTATTTAATTTCCAAATATCCTGGATATTTCGTTGACAAATTGTGGAACAGAGGAAGTATTAAAGTATTTAATTTCCAAATATCCTGGATATTTCGGGATATTGACAAATTCAAATTGGTAAACTTTGTTTAGACTGGTTCCAACGATCACATGTGCTGGAACTGATCTAAATCAGAATGATCCTGCCTGCAAAAAAAATAAAAAAATAGAAGACCCCAAGAGGGGCTGAGAAAAGTATAAAGAAGCTGAAGTGCTCACAGAACACAGAGGAGATGGATTAGGATGAAACCAGAAGAAGGAGTCCCCACAATACATTTGGCAAGTATTATAACATTGGTGATGTACTGCCAGTTTTCTCAATGCTTCTTTGTGACACAGTACATTTTTTAAAAAAAAAATCAGATTATGCAAACTTTGACTAGAAATTTTTAAAAGAGTTCAAAGAGCCAGTAAAGAACATCAGTAAAGTAAAGAACATCTAAAATGATGATGATGATGATGATGATGATGATGATGATGATGATGATACCTAAACTTTACCAGCATCCCAATTTAATATTAAATGTGAGAAGCATCTTACAGAATATTTTCCCATTAAATCCTTCTTTTTTGATGCCCCTTCCATCTAAGCAATAAATACACCCTATTTGGTAGTACCCAGGAGAAAAAAATATATATGGCAGAAGTGAACTCAGGTGCCACCCTCAATCTATTTGATTTATCTCACATTGTGTCTTTAAAATGAAAAGCTCTGGTCTTTTACCTTATGGATGAGGTGGGTCTCTCCCTGGTTACTATCGTCATCTCCAGAGCTTTTCTGTTCCTCATCAGAGGTGACATCTTCAATGGGAATCACAGAGATGGGGCACACTTTGTAAGGCTCTGTGTAGGCACTGTGAACAGAAGAAAGAAGTTTTGTTTTGGAAACACTGGAAATGAACAGCAGAAAGACAAGTTAGGATGGCAAGCTGCAGATTATGGTCTTCAGCATCACTGTGAAAGGAGGCTGAAATGTTGCCTTGGAGACCGCAAAAATGACCCAGGTGTGTGTGCAAGCTGCAACTTCCTTCGACCGCAAAAATGACCCAGGTGTGTGTGCATGTAGCCTACAAGCTGCAACTTCCCTTTCTCACCATTTTAAAAACTTGTGACACAGGGAAACTTATAAATTTAAACCATGATGATAACCATAAATGATAATAATCACTAGAAAGCTTGTGAATCTCATGAGGCTGCTTCAGTAGGATCTTTCCACAGCCATGGAAGGTCCTACTCATTCCTGTGCCATCCCTTTGCAGTTGTGCAGATCAGAAGTCTTACGTCATCAAGCAGAACCCACATAGGAAAGGACAGCAACAGAGAATGCCAAAGGAAAAGCATCATAAACTAAGGATTCAACACACATTCATTATTTTCTCGTCCTCAGTGAAAGGGCATACCACTCTGCTGAAAAAACGGGTAAGCATTGCCAGATTTTCCGCTTGCTATTAGGGGATTCCTTACAGGCTAAGGAGATCAAGGCAGAGCAACCAGAACCCCCCAGAGAGTGGGGTTATATTGTGAAAGAAGATTCCTCGACCAAGGAACTGGTTGAACTGAGACTCCCTAAAGGTGAAGGAGCCAAACATGAATACCTTCGTTGACCTTTTCCTCATTATTGGAGTAAGAGACATCGAAGACAAGGCCCTCATATCTCTCAGGGAACCAAAGGAGAGTCAACTCTCCATCTTGAATAATTGATTAGTGTCGCTATATATTGCTGATACATTTTAAATGGTTTTATTTTACTTGCTGTTAGCCACCCAGAGTAGTCAATGACTAGATAAATAAACAAATAAAATAAAACTGGTGTTGGAGGTGACAGCACCAAAAAGGCCATCTCCGCTGCCTCCGGGGACAACAGCCACAAGGTTCTCAGCACCCTGTGGTGGAGCTGCAAATATGTCACATGCCCTGCCCTCATGGTGGGCCTATAGGCTTTTGTAGGACTCAAACTCTGGAGGAATGTGGCACCCACCATTGAAGAAGACATTGGACCCTCATCTCCTAGTGAAATCAACTTGGGGGAGTGGAAGAAACAAGAGTGGCTTGGAGCGAGTGAAGTCAACTTACACTTTACATCATACTGTACACCAAAGGCAGACTATTAGCTGACTGTTGTTGACTGTTGCTCTCCCATCTGAAGTTTTAATAAACCCTGTTGTTGCTGGGGGTGTGGGCGAACTGTTTGATTGGGAAATTGATTCCAAGGATCTGTGAATGGAGGAAGGGTTACTTGCTAACCAGGTGCCAACCAGGTCACAAACCAGAGCACAGCGTACTGTCCTCTGAAGATGCCGGCCACAGAGACTGGTGAAATGTTAGGAAGAACAACCTTCAGAACACGGCCAAAGAGCCCGAAAAACCCACAACAACCAGTAGATCCCAGCCGTGAAAGCCTTCACGAATACTTTTTTAAAACTTCATATAGATGTGAAAGATGGCCTTCAAAGTGCATCATTCTAATTTTTTTATCATATTCCAAGCAGGCCCTAGTCTAATCATACAATACCTCTGGTAATAGCTCATAACAATTGTTAATAATGTATTCTGTACATGATGAGACCATAATGGTTTTAAAATGAACCTCAACTTAGAACATTAACTGCTTAGGGAAGAAACTTGTGCCACATTTTCACAGAAAGCACCACAGGCAAGTATGTAAATGCAACCCATTATGATTCCACTAATCTCTACAATAGGCAACTCATCACCTTTAGGGTTGTCTTTTTTACATGCTATTAGAGATTTGTAGACTTTAATTCAGCAAATCACCCCAGGTTGAAGAATAGAGAAACTGTCTTTCACTTCATTGGGTGCTCGCATGCATAGGCTGGGACCTATCACTCACATCTAATGGTTCCCAATCATTTGACCCTAAGTTACAACTTTGCACATGAGTTGGCCAAGTTTCTTATTGTGTATTCTGGTAAAAGAGGCCTACTTGGTAAAATGTTCCAGAGATGCTGCCAGGTAAATTACTACTACAAACTCCACAGCAATCCAATGTGGCCTTAGCAGCATTTGTGCAGCTCCTCGCTCCACCCAACAACAACAACAACAACAACAACAACAACAACAAACATTTTTCGGATCCTAGAAGCCTTACTTCAGATATCCCATTCAGGCGTTCTTACAAAAACTTTCTTCTGACTGAAGATAATGCACCCCTCCCTCATTTGACCTACAGAAGCCAATCAGACTGGTAGTGGAATCTTTCTTCAACATGTTGATGAGATAGCATCGTATCCTCAACCATACTTGAGGGCATAAGGGGCATGGGGTAGACTGTTTGGAGCAGAGAGGTTTCCTCCAACAGAGGGAATGCTTAGTGGGATGCTGTTACTGGGTACCCTGCAACACCCAATAACTGTCACCTGAGGCAGCCTCCTCACTTTGTCTAATTGGAGGGTTTGGACCCCAGTCAGTTTACACACTATTTAGCAAGCTTTCACCCTTAAAAGTGGGTGAAATGGCTGAGCTAAGCATACCAACTGAAAAGCAGAGAATATCGCCTGAATATGCACAGTTCTCATTTCAGTGGCTCAGTCTTAACATTATAATTGATCTTGAATTTTTCCTTCTCACCTTTGAATACAATGTTAGGGATCAGGATGGTATTCAAAGATAGAATGTAAGATGATGTCTTTTCCTCATACTGATACTCAATATTCCATCAGATTTATGACTTTATCAAAAAGATTACAACCAAATGGACAGAGCAGTTAAACCAAAGACTTCTCTACACTTGGAGGACTGTAATATCTTGCAGACAAGCTAACACACCCATCGGGTGATGCCCATACTGAATCTCTAGGACCGTGTCCAGGCAGAATTTTATCTGAAATTCTGCCAGTAGAGCAGGGTTTGTGGAGATTCATTTTCAGCTTGGGGACCAAATTTGTAAAGGGTCTCAGAAGGGGCAAATTCCAGCAGAGGACAGAGCTAAAAGTGCAGGGAGGGGCTATCACAAAGCAAGCAGAATCAGATGTAATCTATTTCCTATCAAGTATACAAAGTCAAACACAGTTCTGTGGCTTCCAGTCAGGGCTAGGAAAGAATTCTTCCTGCAACATTGGAAAATAAGTACCAATTAGAATTGATAAAACCCGGGTAGTTCAACCAATGGTCTGACTCAATACAAGACATTTTTGGGGCTCCTAATAGCTTCCATGCTGCAAATCACAGCCCAGCCCCATGAACAAATTCATGGGCTGCAAACCAAAGGTCTGGTCCATCCAATAGCTCAACATAGCCTCTTATCTCCAATCACTAATTGAAAACTTAAGCAAAAGAAGCTCCAGACGGAAAGGGGAACCTGATGGATCACATCTGGCCCTGGAGGGGACCATATGGGTTATCAAGTCCAGCCCCTGTCAAGGAGGCACAGTGGGGGAATTGAACTCTTAACCTCTGACTCTGCAGCCAGATACCTAAATCACATGTTTTATTCTTTCTATTATTAATGTCGCAAAGTGAGTAACTGAGACTGTAAGTGCCAGTTAATGAGAAAAAGTGTGGATTAAACTAAGGAACTTCAAGCTAATTCTGCTCTGTGAATACCTGTACTTCTGCTGTGCACCTAGAGGAATCTGGCCAGAAATTCAAAACTCTGCAATAGTTGAAAGGCAGCAAGATGGGGAAGGTTATTGCAGACAAGATAGAGCTAGATGGAACCATTATAAAGCAGTTTTCTGTGCTCCAAAATGGATGTCATGCCCTTTCTTTCTGTATATTAATTATTATTAATGCTGAGATTGGGATGTACAGCGAGCAATCTCTAGGCTGTATAGTAGTAAATACAAGTCCAAGCAAAAAATGTGTTGGAGAATAAGTGTAGTGGCACATATGCACTTTCAAGACAGTATCAAATATTTTGAAATTCTCAAACCAGTGAGAAAAAAAACATCTCCTAAGAGCCAGGCCAAAAAAGTTCCCCGAAAGAAAGGAAATCTAGTATTCTCTACTTTCCTAAGGGATAATAATGAAGTGTACATATATCACATTAATTCTGTCAATACATTTTTAAAATGACAAGTGATTTAGGAAGACCATCTCTCTCGATGGTCCTAGAATGAGATATGATATTGCATGGCATCGATATTCAGTGCACACAAAGTATATGACTGCAAATGCATACCCTGTGTGAGCATTCATCTTCATCCATGATTATTTATGATGGGCAATTGCTTTCCCAGGTTGGAAAGCTATTATTCTTTACATTACAACAAACTTAAGCAAAAAAAACCATTCTCCCAAAAGAGCAACAGGCTAGGAATACTCATGGGTTGAAGAACGCAACTAGTTAGATGCAGCCAAGACCTAGCAGAGCTCAAAAAATTCCTTTGGGAAAAAATGATTCCATTCTCTGTAATTTGTTCGTCTCCACCTCAAAAACCAAGTCATTATCATAATCATCACCACCACCATCATTTTGCTCTTTATACTGCTCAGTGATTTACTCATTACTTGTTCTTTTTTTTTTTAATTTCATTTTTGGGTGCGGACTTAGAACTGCTAAGAGAATCATGTAAAATGTTGTGCGTGTTGCTGAAACACCTCTAAAATGTTTTAAAACAAACTAGATAATAACTATAAAACTATCCATTTCACAAGAGAGAGAGAGAACCCATTTTGCATCATCTCCACTCATGACATTATATCTGAAAAATAACTTTGTTACACCAATCTGACAAAAATTGTAACTCCTTACTGAAAACTTTGTAACTTAGAATTCATTATTTCTTCGATCTGGGTCCTAACAGAGTTTGAGAGGTGAAACAGAAAATGGTGGCAGCAGATTTTAAGTGTTATAAAAAGCTGACAATCTGTTTAAGTATGTAATTTATAACTA